ATCATCGTCGTCGTCATCGTCTTTGTAGTAGCGATAGTAATAGTAGAGCTTTCCTCATGGTCAATTATCGTGTTTGCCTTATGCTTGTCGATAATTTTCGTGTGTAGCTAACAGGAATTTCGCGGTACTTGGTGGCACCGTGACGTTGTCCCAACATGCAGAATCAACTGGACTAGGCGATGGATAGACAGGCAGGTAGGACGGGGTGTCCATTGCAGGCAAATGCTTGCCACTGTACTCGATCATTTACTCTCTCTCTCTCTCTCTCTCTCTCTCTCTCTCTCTCTTTGAGTAGGTGCATGCATGTGCGTATGCATGTGCATACATGTATACATGTATATATATATATATATATATATATATATATATGTATATATATATCTCACTCATTCACTTTCACCCTTTCTCTCAAGGCTAATCACGATACCACAGAGTATGTGTTATGCTGTAAACACAGACCTCGACGTCTTGTGTCAATTGACTGTATAATCTGTAATTACTAGAACGCGCGATAAATCAATACGCATGTGTCTTGTAGTTTAATACCAAATGGTAATTACGTGATCGAGTTCATGTTATTGAAATCATCGATGTTATTGTTTTTTTTTTTTCTTTTTATTTTTTCCTTTTTCCTCCCTTTCTTTCTGACTTGTATATCATTCGATTATCTTCCCTTATTTTTTTTTCTTCTTACTTTCGCCTCGTCTCGTTTCTTTATGTTTTCTTTTTTTTCTTTTTTTTGTTGTTGTCTTTTCCATCTCTTTTTGTTAGATTTTTTTTCTCTCTATTATTTTTCCTTTTCTTTTTTTTTTTTGTTTTTTTTTTTTGTTTTTTTTTTTTTTTTTTTTTTTGAAGAAATAAAATATCATTGATTTTAATGCGAACGTTGATTATTTAAAATGTTCTTCGGATATTTTATAAAAGATTTTTTTTTTTTTGAATGTCATATGTAACAGTGATTTTTTCCCTTTTAATTCTTTTCTCTCTCTCTTTCTCTCTCTCTTTTTTGTTTCCTTTTTGTCTTGTTTTATTTATAATATAATTGCGTATATCATTAGAATTAGATATCTTTATTAACGTTAGAACTTTTTTTTACAAATTTGTATCGTTCCGAGTAATCAAATTCTATCTTTATTATTATTATTATTATTATTATTATTATTATTATTATTATTATTATTATTATTATTTCTTTTTTCTTTCTTTTTTTTTTTCAAAGATCATCCAATATCATTGATCGAAGTGCTTAGATTAAAATTAAACGATTTTACGGTTAAGAGAAGAAGAAGAAGAAGAAGAAGAAGAAGAAGAAGAAAAAACATAAAAGAAAAAAAAAAGTAAAATCTAAATTACTTGATAGTTTCTTATTTATTTCTAATTGTACTTTGCGTTGATTTTGTATTTCTTATATTGATAATGAATGAAGACAGGAATATAAATCGACTATAGTCGTCGAAATGAAAAGATTATTCATGATGAGCGTCAAATTTGATGGATGAACGCCAAGCGTCGATAAGAAAATGGATCTTTTCTTTTCTGTATTTTTTTCTTTCTTTTCTTTTTTCTTTTTTTTTTCCCTGCTTCCTCGGCCTCATCCCAACATCTTTCTTGGAGTGTCAAATATTATCAGATCTTCGTGGTTTCGTTAATATAAGATCAGTGAAGAAAGAAGATCAGTGACAAGGACAGAAATTTTGTAGAATTTCGTTTGATCCTAAATTGAAATTACATTACCAACTGATGATTAATATATTCCCATTGTGAAACTTATAATTTTGTCTTGAAGCTCCTTCTGGAGAATTAGTACAAAGTTTAAAACAAATGCAACGTTGCATCATTATGATATGTAAACGTGATCGTGATTAAGTTTTCATGAGAAAAAGAAAAAAGAAAGATATATATATCTAAAAATATAATATTTATTATTTTATTAATAATTATTTATTATTATTAAAAAATTGTATTATATATATTATAATTATAATATATACATATATTATAAAATAATATGTATATGTAATAAAAATCATTATGATATATAAACGTGATCGTGATTATGTTAGATTTTCATGAAAAAAAAAAAAAAAAAAAAAAAAAGTATATATATATATATATATATATATATATATATAAAACTTGGTTTAATTGATGCAATTAATTTAAGATTTATTTCTCAAATAAACGCGCTTCCTTTTCTTGCTTTTTTTTTTCTTCTATCTTTCGTTTAACGAAAAACGACGAAAAGAAACGAACCGTACGCCGAACGGGCTCTTTTTAATAGCAAATTTCGAAGGAGGGTGGAAGATATAGATAGAAGGGAAGGTGGGAGGGGAATGAAAGGAGGGGATTACTTAGCCGTTGAACTTTGCCGAGAGTGAATCCGATTGCAAATTTGCAGTGGGACTGCTCTCGTAATGACTTTTCCTGAAGACCGATTACGCGATTGCGAGTTAAGAGAGTGGTGAACGAGGAAGAGGGAAGTAGAAAAGCAAGAGAGTGA